ACTAGAGCACAACAACGAGCAACAAAAACAAAATCATGTTATGTTACCTATAGCTGGAATACTATCCACCAAATCAAGAACGAGAAATGAAGAATTGCATCAACGTTTACATTTGCTGCTTAATAGATTCCCACCGTCAATATCACAAAAATTAACTTTAACAATGATCCTTAAATACATCAGTTTGCAGAAATAGGATAGGACTTATTTCATCAAGAAATTCCAGAACCATTGGAATTTGAGCGAAACTGTAATTCGGACACGGTAATTCATACAACAATAAAACATTTATAATATAAGCAAAATGATGACCCCGTTTGACCCAAGACGATAACAGGCAAAACTCCGAACAAAATAAATCTCTACCACTTACAACTTGTTTAAAACTTCTCCTATCAGAAATATACTGTAAGCATTTGACAACTGAGTTTAATGCTTTAATCCAGAAAATTAGAAATCAGTTGAAAGGTTGGGCTATTCTTAAAGCTTACCTGTATGCTTACTAGATTTATTAAGAGACCATCATTTTATTTTTTCCTAATATTTCTTGCAACTATTAACCAGACGTAATTTACAAATACAGTTCTTAAATGCAGTCGGTGCTAGGCACGACCAAAAAAGTCATCACCAATAATGAGTTCCATTTGAGGGGAATGAGAATATACGACATTAATCAAAAATTTGATGACAACCTTATACAGGAGATCTATCCTATAGGATTATTCCTAACATGCAAATCGCAACAAAGAAAAATGCTAACACTTGTATCTTGGACAACATATGTTAACAAAACAGAATAAGAATAGTGAATGCTGACAGAGAACAAAATATGTGATTTGGCAGGATCATGAGCCAAGACTATAAAGAGTAGTATTCTTAACTCGAACTCATTTTTGGTTTGAATTTGCAAAAAAACTGATAGTATGACAGCCTCTAGCCGTTACCATCGGAAAGACGTACTTCTCAAGAAACTAGCCAGTTAGGTCAACTGCAGCTCAATGCAAATGTACTTAATTCCTCAGATATGCGGCAACTTCGAAACTGAAATGCAGCAAGTAAAAATCAAATTTAAATTTTGAATAAAAACAGAAATTATATCACGACAATTGTTTCATAAAGCCAAACTGGAAAATGCAAAATATCAAGCCGAGAAGCAAAATTACCATAAATTGATCAATCTGCATTATACAATCAACAAACCAAGAGAAGCATCGGCGCTAGTTTCCATGGAGATCAGATTAACGCAGCACTCCGGAGGTCTAGGTAATCGCCTGCGCAGCCAAGGATGCTTCAAAGCTTGTTGGGGAGTTAGTCGTGTATCTGGATCCCAATCCAGACACCGCGTCAGAAAATCAATGAATAAATCATCACCCTGAAATAATCGGTTATACAAGAAGTTTTCGACAAGCTTGAATAAAAAATCTTTATGTATTAGAAGTTTTTATGTATTATAAGTATTATGTATTATTTATGTATTTATATATTATATTTATGTTTTTATGTATTATAAGCAGTATATGTATTAGAAGAATGCCTGATTTTTCAATGCAGTGTTCCAAGACCGACTTCCTGGAGGACCTCTCGGTTTACCGCGCTTCGATCGTCCTCCAGAAACTGCTACTGTTCCATCTGACATTGTAGTTATAGTGCAGTATCGCGGATAACCTCTCGAAGAGATGAAATTACGCGTTCTCTTGGCATTCTCAGTGACTTTAAGAGGTGGTACACCAAGCAGTTCAATTATTAATGCCAGCTGAAAGAAATAATTCAAAAACAAGGAAATGCTATACTGTATTAAACTTTCTAACAAAAAGACTAAAGTATGAAGGGTTTCAGCAATAAATTGTTGATCAATTCCAATTTTTCTAAAGAGACATTCAAAGAAGAGAAAGCAGCGCCATTAATAGTAATGCGGAAAAAGCTAAAGAAATGAATAAGAACCTGATCACTTTCATCTTCTCCAGGTAAGAGTGGGTATCCGGTAAGCAATTCAGCTAATATACATCCAAGTGACCACATATCGATGGGCATCCCGTATTTTCCACCCATAATCACTGCAGCACATCCCATTTTAATTTAGTATTATGCTAAGATTTGAAAAGCTTACGCTACAGTTTCTCTAAATGTTTCTTTCCACAAGCTTACCTTCGGGAGCTCTATAAAACCTCGACTGGATATAAGTGTATACTCGTTGATTATCAAAACATGAGGAACCAAAATCAATAACCTAAAAATGAATATTTTGAATAAACTAGAACAATCCACAGAACAGTTTCTTCAAAAAAGAAAGAAAAAAGAAAAACAATTTAAAGCTAGATAAAACAACAACGGAAACGAAATCAAGAAAAAACCTTGATCCCACTCCTACCCTGCTGTTTCAACAAAACATTCTCCGGCTTCAAGTCACAATGAATAAGCCGGTTACGATTAAGCAAATCAAGACACTGCAGCATCGAATGAGCGAATTTTCGAACCAGCTAAAACAAGCGTTATTGATAAATACAACAGTGCAAAAGATTACTGAACTTTGCAGCTGCAAATAAATGCAAGTTAAGAGGCATTCATGGCCTCTAAAACCTACTACAATAATGATAAAGATTTTTGTAGATTCAAGACGTGTTCAATCCAATCCATAGTTGTATTTATAAGAATTTTGCAGTGAACAAGAATGAAATTACATTTAACAAAAAAAAAAATGCTAAATTATGTTCCGAAAACCAACGAAATAAATTCTATTTTGAGCAAGAGATGAAAAGAAATTTTCAGTTCACCAACAATAATTTTGAGGAATATTTGCACGAGCTACAATCAGTGTATGAGCGTCATTAGCTTTAAGGGAATACATACCTGCAGACTAAATCCCTGGAATTTGTTCTTCTTGATAAGTTCATATAGATTAATGCTTAACAGTTCGAAAGTAATGCACTTGTGATTTCGAAAATTAAAATGATCTAGCATGTGAATGATGTTATAAGCACCTTCTGGGTCTTGCCTTCGTAAATGATCCTGAAAATAACTGTACAACTCTCCCACAAAACATGATCAATACATTCTTCACATTTTAAATCATCTAACTTTAATTTATCCGCAAACGGTTGATCTTTTAATAATAATGAATACAGCACAATAATAAGAGTGATTGCCAGATGATAGACTTACGAGAATTCGAATTTCTTCTTCTGCCTGGCGGTGAAAACGTTTCTCATTACGAACTAATTTCAGCGCAACATACTGCTGATGTTTGTGATCATAGGCTCGTATTACCTGCAGATATACCTTAGTCGAGCAGACCAAGGAAATTATTTCCCTTTCATTCCTTACAGAATATGAAAAATAACAAGATAGAAGAATCACACAATCTAGAAGTCATCGAAATCCTAAATTAATTGTAATAATAGAAATAATAAAAATACAAACCTGACCAAAGCTTCCCTTACCAATAACTTTCAGCACCTCGTAACGATATGCGATATGATCGTGAGCAACAAGAAGGTAACTTCCCATATCATCGTCATAACCGCAATTATTCTGAGAACTGACGTTACCAGTCCGCTTTTTCGCTTGAGATCCAACAAAATAAATACGAGGATAATTATAAATTTCTGAGATTTCGAAGGGTGTGAGCTTACTTCCAAACGTTCGTACGGCATCTTCTGGACGATATCCCTACAGTGTTCGTACTGCTTTGCTTATACTTTGTAGTAAATATTGCAGATTAATTCTCAGCATAAACGGAACAGAAATAAAAACTCCGTCCAGATAATTCTTTTGTTATCGGTATTATTGTAATATTTGGTATTGTAAGAAGAAAAACTTCCCACGAAGGGACAAGAAATGAAGAACTAAATCTCATTACATTGCTCTCAGTGTACAAACAATTCTTTTTCTACCTCTTAATCTACAAGATCGGAAACAAAACAAATATTCCGACGGATTAGAAAAAATACCTTATTCCCATTGCTAGCATTTGTATTTGTTGTCCCATTGGAATTTCCGCCACCGCTACCACCGGAAGATGATGTACGAGACCTGAAAATTCATAGAATTTTTTTAACACCTATAATGAACGGATTTCATTAGAAGAAATATGCATATTAAAAAAACTCATCAAAAATACCTCAAAGACTCATCAGATGGACTTTTAGCGATTTGCTGTCGTAATTCCACGCTTTGTCCAATTGCAGATAGTGTAGAGACAGATGATGAAAGATGTTTTGAAGCGGACGACACGCCAGATGACGTTGAGGAGCCACCACCTTAAAAGATTTTCACGCTCAAACAATATCTGGAAAATATCGTTGCACATGCTATTTTAAGAATTGGTGTAACTTTTCAGTTTTGCACTTTAGGACTGAAGCATGAATTTTGGAAATATCCATTAGTAAATTTTGCATTTAGTGAACATATACCAATTGCACTGCTGCTACTCGTTGCCGATGGAATTGTTGCTGCTTCAACGACACCACCACGGGCGAGCACTTCAATCATAGTCTGAATACGCGGTGATGGTGGAACATTGATGACTACCGATGTTAAGCTGATAACTTTAAGTGACGTTTGGCTCCTAATGCTGCACGTGTCACAATTCCCTGCGTCTCGCGTACTATAAATGTAGAATTGCGAAAATGGTAAACAACATCCCAGAGCATAACAAAGAGAGAACCATGGATATGAGAAGTCGAAAGCAAGTTGAGTCCGCTGACTAACGCTAAATGCAGATCTATTCTCACTTAATTATTAAGTAAACACATATTTTGCTGCAGACGTTCCAAAATTATTTTACCGTTATGGTAGAAAGTTGCCTATAACAAGATAATCTTATGACAGTTTTTAATCCCCAGTCCACATGTAAAAGAAAAAAATTTCGACGAAAAAATACCACTTTGCTACTGAAGTTCGCAATCTTCTTTGATGATAATTCGAAGAGAACACGTAAAGAGTGATTTTGTCTTAAAGATTTAAAGAATGACCAAATAGACGACGAAAAATGTTTATAAGCTTTAGGCGTTTTCTCCTGTCGTGTCGTGACACTTTGTTGTTTTTGATAAGTGTTCCCTCTGTCCTACCGCCAATCGAGAATGAACAATACTTGCTGTCGGCGGGATCAATAGTGATGGTGAATTTTTTGACTGCACAGCTGTTACCACTGGGCCTCGCTTCAGCGCCAGGAGAATATTGCAACAAAGACGCCTCTCTCGAGACCCCGCACTTCTTGCTGAAAAGTAGTGAAAGTTAAAATTGCGCATTTCTCAATTCACGACTCCACTTTCATATAAGTCGTGTATCAGGTGAAGTTCACATGAGGAATAAGTAAAATGGTGGAAAATTGAACTCATGGAAAATGATATGTTCGGGGAGCAGGAAAATTGCAAAATTACAGTTACCAATGAAAACAACTGATATTCCTATTAAAGCTAGTGACCCAATGCCATGAATCTAAGATGGCAGTGCTATTGGAAAAAGCTAAAGTTCTAAATGATGCGAATGTAGTAGATTTGAAGGCTTTTTGCTTCAGCACGACGAACGTACAAAATGAAACTTGTTGAGATTAATCACCGCAACGGAGCAATCAAAGAAACGAGCAATTTAGCAGCAGAAAACTCTAGCGTTCAATCAACTAAAATTAAACACTACTATAAATAAAAAATTTGCATGAAACTATATCACTTCGTCTAAGCTCACCAAATTCTCACCCTGTGCCTCAACGCCACATAATATGGACAAACCTGTGCTGTAACTAAATCGACATACACATACAATATATATATATATATATATATATATGCACTGTATACACTATAAAGAGGACATTGGCCGTCCTAACCAAACGACCAGTAATCCGCGATGTTCGTGAGAGATTGGGAGAAGCTCTCAGAATATGTATTAATGCTAAATGCAGCAATCACGAATTGGACCAAGCAATGTGATGAATATCGGAGATAAAGGAAGCCAGTTCAGCGCAATTAGCATAAGACCATCGAGCCATGCACCCCAGATGGATACGCTGTAGAGGTCGCCTCACAACAGATCACCAACACTCAACAACCTTGGATGAGCAAGTCAATCAACCAGTAACGGCAACACTATTCACCTTCCCCTTCTTTCATTCCTCTTGTTGAAGATCTACGTTATACTACTGCTGCTGCAACAATAGCTACTGAACCGTTGCTGCACAATTATAATTCTACTCGAATAACGGGTGAATGAACCATCACGACCACGACCAAGGCTACGAACATCATTGCCATCATCATCGTCATCTATCACCGTTATCCATTATTATCACCATTACCATCACTATCCTCATCACCATCACCATATCATTATTATCGTCATGAAATCTCTACATCTTACATTACCACTAATTACACTTCCCTAATGTCACAAAGCATTCTACTATAACTGTCAACGATAATAAAGGTAAAAATGTACTCTTTTCTAACTTGTGTTCCAAATCGCCCCGCAATTTGCTTCAGTGAAGGCTAATTAATATCTGTTACATAACCATTTCTGTTTCTTTTATCAAATCAGCTTTCAAAGCATATGAATGGTGCTGAGGAAAACACATTCCATTCATCTAACTTGTTCCACCCTTACGATCATATTTAAAGCTAGCAAATCAATTAAAGCGATAAGCCGCTGTCCCTAAAACAAAATAAAAAAATGAGCGCAGAACTGTGAACTTCATAAAAAATGGTTTTGATTTGGAACAAAACAAGAAAAAATTGTTATTTTGATGCGACAACGCCGTTGTAATGTTTGCCATCGGCAAAAGTGGAATACATGTGTGTATGCATTATTTATATGTACAAGTATTTGTATGTGTACGCACCTATCGAGGCGAATGTAATGAATGTGAGGTTGGATTAATGGTTTGCTAATAATTTGTGTGCACATAAACAGAGTCGGCTCTGATCGTGAAAAATTTGGATATAAGACTTGAATTCTGAAGAACCTAGAAAGATTCATGATTTGCATATGGGTATGAGTGACCCGAAGAATCTCATTGGTTACTCAAGCTTACCCTAAACGTAAAAGAGGTAGAAGGAATAAATCAAAGACAAAAGGACTAGCTTTTAAAAAAGGGAAAAAAATTCCTTAGCTGCTGATTTTCCTTTCAGGTCCAGATAGAGTTTTTGGTGCTTTAGCAACTTTTTGTCATAGCCTCTTCAAATTTCAATAATTGTTTTATGCTTCCCCATATGAAGCCAATAGTCTAACAATTTATCAAGGGACCAAGCAAGCATACAGTCAAAATTCACTTCCCTGAAAGCTTTCAACTTTCTACACTTGGGAGCTTTCCTTTCAGTACTAAACCATACTGCTTTAAATAAAAGCATTTATTAAATAATGACTGCTTTAAATAAATGCTTTTATTTAAAGCAGTCATTATTTAGGTTCTCACCATCCCGAAACACAAACCTTCTCTCTCTTCTTACATTCATAGTATAATAGCTTGATACTGTGGTAAATAAAACTCCCAGTATTCGAATGGATATAAACGACCGGTTGGATAATTATCTATTAAATGTAACCATTTACTTGGGGCGTTCATGAGGTCAAGTATCACATATTATCTTAATGAAGTGTGTTTAACACAGCAAAAGACATAATGCATTGATGGTACCAATTAGTCCCTCTAATGATTACACATCATAATAAGTTGCATAACATTCCTCTTTCTGAGTTTTTGGTTTGAAGCGGGAAAAATCACAACATTTAAAATGGAACCGGAAAAATAAATTAACAACATTACAGAGCTGAGACAAATCGTTGTAAGAAGTTGATGCTATTGTGGCAAAACTAGAAATTCAACAACGACATCAAACACATTTTTTTAATATTATTAGGAGGTGAAAGTTATTACAAAATGTTTTATATCTTCAGAGATTACATCGTCCGAAAAAATTCGAGACCTCAATCCACCACATCTCGAGAATTAATAACATCTCATTATGCTCGCATCCGTCAACCCGCTGTGCATCACCAATCCATATTTATGGTGCTAGATGATTTAAGACGTAAGGCAAACGGCCTCCAACTTAACTATTATTACCGTCTTTTTTGCGAATATTTTTCCAGAGAAATACCAAGCCTTCTGGAAAATGCATCGACGGATCTGCTCCCAATAATTTTTCGGTTCTTTTCTCAGTATCAAACATAAGTTACCAGACAAATCCAAGCTTCACGAGGTTTTGATCAAAAAAAACCCATGTACCCTTTGGAATTGACAGTATGTACAGAAAGATTGATTTTAATCCTTTCCTTCTTCTTGCTACCTGTTTAGAGACTACTTGAAATTTATTATTAGCTATGGCATAGCAGGAAGCCTCTTTTTCCAATAACTGTTTGTTTAGTACTAAAAAAATTTATGTTCACAATTCGTAAACGTTTTCCGGATGTTTTATCCACGAAATATGATTTTTTTTTCAGTGCTCATCTATTTTCACGTTAATTTGACCAATTTGTCAAAGCTGTACTCTCAAAGTGATTTCAGTGGAAAATTCGGTAGGATAGAAACAACGAGTCAAACATCCATAAGAATGTATCGAAACTGCTTATTACATGGAGAATGACATCCTGCAAGAAGTTAAATGAAAGCCAGTAGCTCATCTGAAGACCAGGTATTAGTGAACTAAATGACAACGAAGAGAACATCGAAAATTGTTGGTGTACTCAAGAAGTGATATACAATCGCTGACTTCAATATCACTAATTAGATATTGTCCTTTCTGGTTAATTGTAATGCATAATTCGATTTGTAAGTCAAAACATCATCTTAGTGGTAAAGTAATATATCGTCCACTGCGCTTCATATTTTACGTCACTAAACATGCTATGGTTTGACTTTATATCGTGATAGGATCACTTCCAGCACTTATCTATGATAGACAAGTATTAAAGGAGCGATGTAGTTCCAACTTCGTAGTGAATCCTTACAATAACAGAAGACTGTTTTAAAATAGTAGAGAAGGAAGACTGCAGAAAGATACGTATAGATAATAGTGCAGGATGTTAAAATGATTAGGTTAAGCTTCAGATGAGCAACACTGCAAAATTTGGCAGTGTGCTCGCGTTGCAGCAACAGAAGTACCGCGTGGTACGTTATCACTCGCAACTTTAAAGAAATCCATAGAAAAATGAAGGCGCCAGCATAAGCGTGCGGTAGCCCTACAACTCACTTTCAACAACAAACTAAAAGAGAGGACACCTTGCGGTGCGCCCATGTGGCTAAGGAAGGGATGGGGATAAGGAGGAGGGGAAAAGTGAACTAAGAGTAAGGCAGCCTTTCTCATCTCTCTCTCTCTCTCTCTTTTTCATCCAACAATTGTTATATGAGAAGAGAGAGAGAGAGAGAGAGATAAAGAGGCAAATGCTGCCCTTATCTCAAACAAAAAGAGCGGAGGGATGAACATTTGTGGACATCACGTCTTTACAACGACCTCTTCCCAAAAAGAGAAGGAGAGAGAGAAAGGGAATGATAGCAAAGCAGGGTAATCAAAACTGAGAGGATGAGAGATATTTATAACAAGCAGACGTCGTCGTCATATGGCCTGCACCTTGTATTGCACGCTGCTTTCTCTTTCCATTATAGCCACAAAGTATAGATACGTATTTGTCTCACAATTTTGAGAATAGACAGTAACAGTTTAGTTATTACCACTGAACCACTCTTACTACTTTTTGGCTTTTCATTCTGATGATCGGAAGTTGGCCTATTGCTCAACGACCTATGACCCTCTACATAATGTTCGCGCTGTAATTTTAAGATTCGTGATGAAAGAAAATGAGATCAACATCTCACACATCTCACGTACATTAGTCATTCGCGTACACTTTACATATATCAAATTAATGTAGCATCTAAAAAAAGGAACTCATCCTTGACCAACGAACCAACAGAAGCTCCAAGACGTTATTAAATTTCAATAACGTGGCATTTATTGCGGTTCCGTTACTTAAATGTAAGTTCCTTGTGGAGCTATTTGCCCAATGCTGCCATTATGGAATCAAGACATTTTAGTATACGAAGTACCTAACTAAATCAAATTCACTACCTAATTATCTCCTCAAGAAAAACGCGAAAACTTCCTGTAAGCGAACGTATTGTAACCTGTTGGCGCACCAACAAATGGAACCCAGAATGCTTCATCAAACTTCCAAAGTATTTTTCCAGGAACGATCACAGACTTAAGCTGTATCATTCGCACGATATAAACAATGCTTACACGCACGTATAGAAAGTATCCAGACGAAACTTACGGATGAAATTGAGAAGTAATTTTAAAATGAACAAAGCTGTATAGTGCTGTTTCCATTTTTTATTTTGCTGACCAAAAGAAATGAATGCAATAAATGAAGATAAACAGAAAATCTAACAGTTGGAAGATGCTTACAGCCCCACGGATCGTTATACGCAGAATGCAATCTAGCTGCATCACCAGACAATCACGCTGCGCGGCCGATGGATGGCGATTATGCGTGTGTATAAGAGGGACCGGACAATAAACTAAGCACCAGTGAAGATACGATGAGGAAGGTGCAAGAGGATGCAGAGGAAGAGGAGGAAAAGAAAAGGGGAGAAGGAGGGGGAAGAAAAGAAGGTAACGAATAGAAGTGGATGCACTAAATTGGGATGGGAAGGAGAGCAGAAAGAGTGGTAAGGGTGACCAGATGACGTTGCCAGGCAACAAGCTAGATGCTTCTTCATTGAAGTGCCTCATCCTGTCTCATTTTTAAATGAAAGCGAAGAGAGGGTTGAGAGGATGTCGGAGAAGTTTTTGAATTCCTGGATGGGAGAGGAGGAAAAGGTGCTGGGTTAAGCATGCATCTTACAAAGGTTCTCTTTGACCTGTTCCCCACACAGATCGAGTTTCCATTTTGTGAATTTTTTGTCGTTTGAAGAATGATGAGGAAGAAAGTTACTATAAGAGGCAAAGTTGAGATTACAATCAAAAAACAAAAACTATTTAGTGAAACGTAAAGGAAAGAAGAGTAAAGCAAATAGGTTAAAGTAGTGTTTCTCGATCTATACACTGTAGGAAAGGAGTAAATCGACGAAACAATTCGTCTGCCGGATGCCCTTTAACATCTCATATTCCTTTCTGTCTAACGAGATCTAAAAATCAGTGCTCGTAATGTGATATTCGGAAAGTCGTCCCACTTCTTCATAGCATCCGTATTCATAGCATACTACATAGCATACTAACTTCGATTGAGATAAATGTCACCATTAAAATTCGAATGCGCATTTAAGGATGAGTCTTCTTGGAGCGGAGATTGTGATTATCATAGCATATGTACTCATCATACCAATATCATGAAAAGTTCTTCACGACACTCAGTACTCATTATGCTTTGCGTTCATTGCCGTCGGTTTGAGTAAACAAAAAGCGTTTTATGGAATGTTATCACAGCATACCAAAATATGAAATGAGGTTAACCATTCCAGGAGTTTGCAAATGTGTTCGACAGTACCCGTATCCCACTCTTCTCAAGGATCCACGTAGTAAGCATAGGCAGAAAAGTCGAGAAAGTTCGCAAAACATCAATTTAATCTGATCAGAACTTCTGAGTTTCAAAAGAAGCATGATGTAAAAAATTCGCCTTTTCTTCCAGCTTATGTCATCATCACCTGGTATCTTTTATCACTCACTCACCTGTTAGAGGACTTTTATCTATTCGGCGCGGATTTGTTAGACACCTACATAGTTTTTATGCGAATATTACTGTAAAAGTATATATTGTTGCAGTGAAATGCAATTTTTTTCTCAGACAAATACAATTAATTCATTTTATGTGCAACTGCACATCATTGTAAACAAAAATATGTGAAAGATATATGAAACGTCATGGCTGAATTTTAATCGGTGTAAAAAATTTCAGCTCAATTTTATTGATATTACTAAATGTGAAATTCCAGCAACGAAAATGATTTTCGTTTGAAATATTTTTATTAAAGTTATTTAAAGTTCAAAGTTTATTAAAGTTTATCAAGGTGAAGAATGGAAAAGAAAAAAGGGTATAAAAAATAAGATCTATATATAAAACTATTTTTTTCAAAGCATTTCCTAAATAACTATTCAAGTTGTTCGCCAAAAGTTTGCTAAAATATATTTCATTACTGGAAAATAGAAAGTTGTGTATAGCTTTACTGAAATTTTATTTATTAGAGAATCTGTAATCAGTAAGAAACGCTAAAAAAGGTAACGATACACCAAATGTGTTTTGTTGCAATGGCTGTGATATATACGTTATTGAGAAAAAGATTAATTTCTGTTCAAAAAAAATAGCAATAGAAATGACGTTCAAATTGCCGAAAGTCCTTGGCTGAGTAAGTGGAAAGATTAAGCCTTTTCATCCATAATTTAAAAATGAACTCTATTTAAATTCCAATTCTTCATGAAATCTATTTTGATATTTCACCTTGATTTAGAAATAGAAACTTTTTTGTAATATCTAAACAGAGCAATATTGCTCAGAATCTACAAGTAAATCAAAAAAGCACTGCACTTGCTATTTGTCGTCTGTGAAAGACTAGATAAATCGAAACATTCAATTAGTTGGAATTAAACGTAATGATTTGACGATTAGAATTAGGAAGTATTCATGTGATCTTATACCACATTTTCAATCATATCGCAATCATAAGATGTCTACAATTGATTAAATGGGCGATTTTATGGATAGTAAGTTTTAAGCTATTTCGTCAACTTTGGTATATGAAAACTTTATACGATCATAATGTATATTTCATTAAGTTCAGCAGGTGAGTAGCGAAAAACCGAAATGAGGAGTGCAACGCAAAGAAAATTCTCTTCGATAGAAAAGTTTGTTCAAAAAGTTAAGGTAATACAAGTAACAGATTTTGAAATATATCCATGAGTATTTCATTCTTAGGAAAGATTTTTTTTTTGAACATCGGCACCATTTTCTATGTGCAGCATTGTCGTTCATGCTTCACTCTACCGGGATATTTTTCCAATGGAGTAACTATTAAAATCTTTGCTAAAGCTGCAATATTTTCTAGTATTACGCTCAAAATTATTAAGTATGTCCCAATTGAACATATCGGAATACTCGTAAATCTGTAGTTCATATCGAACAGAGCCAAATACCTGCTAAACATTTGTTCTTCTAAACAATCATTGATAGGCATAAAATTGTTCTGCTCAATTATAAAACAACTGAATATTAAAGATATTGGAAAGCGATGGGACTTTACTGAAAGAATACAACCGGAAACAAATATTTAACAAAATTATCACTCTCGTCCCTAGATTTTTTTTAGACAATTCAACAACTACGCGATTACTTATGGATTCAAAAAAGGTTTATCCCAGAAGACCAGTGCAGTCTTTGATACAGGGCTCGCTTTTAGTGGAACTACTGGTTAGAAAAAGTAATCTATATGCAAATATAAACTAAGATATATTCCGTTCCACAATTACGTTTTCAATCAAAAATAATTCGATGGTTTTTAAAAGGTATTGTTTTGTAGCAAAATACGAAAAGACCACAAATCGTGATTTCTCTATTATGTATATGAACTACGAATTGATCATGACTTGCCCAGATTTTTTATCATACAATTTACATATCTTGCCTGTCAGTATGGGTAGAAGTAAAAATATAAAAAATAAACTTTCCATTGTTCTCGAATGTTCTACAATGCATTCAAACGGACGATCTAATGAAAATAAAGAGCAACGATTGATAGTAATTGTGCATTCAGTTACTAATGATATCACCAACTGTTACTACGAATGAAAAGAAATTTTTTTTCCACAAAATTATAATATATTTTATTTTTTAAAATCGATTTTCCACTGCCACAATAAGAAAATAATTGAATAGTATTTTTTTAATAATATTTATAGTATATTTTATAGTATTTATAGTATTTATTTTTAATAGTATTTTATTTTATATAATATATAAAATACATTTTTTTATATGTAATATAAAAATATATATTTTATCTTAAAAACTTCAAAATCAGAAAAGTGTGTGACATTCAATTGAACGAATAAATTTGGCACAAATATGCGAAACGTTTCGAATTGCACCATTTATTTGTGCATCTAAATCAACATCACTGGAAATGTATAAGATCCTAGAGCTCAGAAATTAGTTCTAAATTATGAATTGTAACTATTTCAAGAAATTTGGTTTAAGATAAAGATTGGTTTCAATATAATTTTTCAGAAGCAATCTTAAGTGAATAACCATGATTTGAAAAAAATTATGAAATGTATGATCAAGAAAGAAGCCAAACTGTTTGCGCAATGGTATACTATTTATACCATATGTAATATTATTTCAAATCTATGAGGATAAACTTGCTAATTTAAAAATGCGACAAAAAATGGAGCCTATGAGAAAGACATTCACTCCCAATGATAAATAAAAAATTCGATGGAATGATTTAGGGATAAAAAGCCTATCTATAAAGCAAAGTTGTTCCAGAATCCATACTTCTGAAGCAAATTATGATTATGAGTAACTTTACATGAATAAACCGTAGATCACCATGACTGTTTAATTCGTCAGTGAACGCGTTTTGACATCATTGTAAGTCGAGTATAGTCATGCATCAACCACTTTTAAGAGATGAGAATCTAAAGTAAAAAAACCTCATTTAATGCACTCGCTGGTTATACTGTCGGTCTTTAATTTAAAGGTGGAAATATATCACTTGAGGCCAAGAAAAATTTCCATTTGTTTCAAAATAATTTGAGCCGAAAATAACAGATTGAAGCCCAAACCAAGACCGTTTTAAAACGTTGCTTTAAAGTCTATCATTTAGATATATTACAGATTTCAAGTAATAGCAGCATCCCTATAATAGGCAAGCGAGTATTCTCGATATGAACGTTAAGAATCTGTTAAGTCAAAATATTTCTGTTATTGTGTATGTGCCATGAAATTTTGCTTCTTTAGCATCATAAATATTTTTAGGAACTTTTAAAATCTGGAGATAGATAAATGACAAGCAATCAAAGGAGTAAAAAAGAGAAGTTGAAACAAGTTTGATAAGGGTTATAACCATTTGAAGAAGAAAGACTGAAACGTATTAATATTCCTCAACGAAAAGCATTTGCGAGAAAAAACATTTCATCTTATTGTATTTGTTTTTTTATGATTTCTCTAGTCTAAGTTTTCTTACCTAAAAAAAGCAAATGTAATTGTATAAGAGAGTTGG